TATATATATATATATTACGTACTATCCATTACATGTCGCTGATCTTGGTACACATCGTCCATTTTCACATCGATATTCTGTATTAGTACAGTTTCGATATACTGGTGTTATTTAAAAATAAATGTTAATATAATATAAGAAAAAAATAAATAAAATTCTTACCACATGAAGCTGGTTCATCTGATCCATCTCCTTAAAAATCATAAAAAAGATTATTTAAAAAAAATGGAAGATAAAATAAACAAACCGCAATCATTATCATGATCTAAATACATAAAAAAAAAGTGCAAATTACATTATAGAATCATTTTTATCGAATATTACTTACCACAAACATATGAACGTGGTACACAAAGACCATTAGCACATTGAAATCTAAATAGATAAAATATTGTAAAGTATATGTTTAATCTATTTAAAATTTCTACATACTGGTATGATGAACAATTACGTCTTGTACAATTAGCTTCATCTTCTCCACGCATACAATTTGGAACACCATTACAAATAGCTGATCGATCAAGACATCTTAAACGTGGATTATTTCTTAAACCTGATGGACAACGAAATTGTGTTGAACTACAAGGCATTTCAGCTACGAAGAAAATAAAATTAACTATTTTTTTGATACGAATCATTTTATATGATACAAACCACAATTATGTCGTTCATCTTCATCACTTCCATCTCTATACAAAAAAATTCTTTTCGAGAACAATTTCAAATGAATTTTATTTACCGGCAATCATCAATACCATTACATCGTTGTTCTGGACTAATACATCGACCATTATCACATTTCCAAAGACCAACTGGACATGTTCGATTTGATAAACGACAATCAGATGGTTCATCAGTACCATTTATACAATCTCGTTGACCATCACATACCCATGAATATGGTATACAACGACCATTTCCACATCGAAATTCCGCTAGATTTATAAAAATAAAAATCAATTTATACAAATAAAACTTTCATATACACATACTTGTATTGCATTCAATACTATGACAAAAAATTGGACTTTCATCACTATTATCACCACAATCATTATCACCATCTATTCGAAAATACAAAAAAAAAACAACTTCATTAAAATAAAATAAAATCTTCTTTGTATTTTACATACCACATAAATAAGTTTTTTGAATACAAATATTATTATTTGGACATTTCATACTATTTGTTCCATTACAAATACGAGATGGACAACCGATTTCATCAGTTGCATTACCATCATTACAATCATCATATCCTATTTTATTTTGTTTTTTTTTTGAAATATAAAAACTTTTTCTTTATCGAATTTTTTTATTTCTATACATACCATTACAACGTTTAAAGTTATCAATACAACGAAAATTATAACATGTAAATTGTCCTTCAGGACATTGAGGATATACACATGGTTGAAATGCATTATTTTCATCACTACCATCATTACAATCTATATTAAAATTAAAAAAAGATTTTATGAAATACGATTTAAAAGGGGGAGGAGTGTTGAAGTATAGGAATAAGAATTTAAACTTGTGATTAACAAGAGCAGTTACATCGTATCTCAGATTTTAATTCTGTAGAGATTGTGCTAACAGCTTTCTTTTTTTTTTTTTATTTACCGATTTTTCGATCACATCGTTCAATATATGGAATACATCCACCGCTTAAACATCGATATTCAGTTGGTCGACAAGCATACCGTGCTATATATAATAATGATAAATTAAATTTATTTTGTGAAGAATTATTTTCTTACAACAAAATCTTGAATCTTCATCTGAACCATCAGAACAATCTGATTGACCATCACAAACTTTTCGTCTTGATAAACATTGACCATTTTGACAAGTAAAATTAACTGAAGCACATGATGATGATAATGCTAAAAAATAAATAAACGAAATTTAGGTTTTTTCTTTTTTTTGTCTTCTTTCTCTTTTCAAATTTTACTTACGAACACACATTCGTCGATCATTAGCTAATTTTAATTGTCGTCCACTAGGACAAGCACATTCAACTTGATTATCACCTGCTGTTTTACATATATGACTACAACCACCATTACTTATATTACATGGTGAATAAGAACATTTTTGACGTTGATCAGATACAACATGAATATCCATTGGACGGTATGGAAGATCATTTTGCATTTCAACCATATTAGCACCAGTATATTTTTCAGCACGATAAATACCACCTGAAAGATGACGAAAAAAAGTTTTTTTTTTTTTCGTTTTTTCTAGAAAATTATTTTTCATTAAAAAAAAACTTACGAAGAACCCAATCAGTCCAATAAATATAATGTTCATGAACAGTTATTGCAAATGGATGAACAACTGTTAAAATAACTTGTCGATTTGTACCATCGAATTCTGCACGTTCAATACGATCACTAAATTTAATATTTAGAAAATATTTTTCGATTCAATCATAATATAATATTATGATATTTTACAACTTCGCTCTGAAGTTCGAGTTCAATCTAATATGGACAAAATAGTGTGATACTAATAAACGGATTCTTATGATTGTTGTTCACTGTCTTTATTATAAAGTATTTGAATACAGACAAAAGTTTTTATGTCTTATATCTGTCAAGTAATCTTTTGTGAGAATAGTTCATTTTGAAAGTTTCATGTCTTTTGATTTGTTCCTATTCTGAAATCGACCGGTTTATATTTCAATTAAGTACGGCTGCTTAATAATTCCTTTTGAATTAATTAATACACTATATTGCGGACTATGCAAAGTAGAAACAATAGATAGAAATCTCATCTAGAGCATTTGTTATACATTAATGACGTTGGTGTTAAAGACAAACTTTATTATTCTTATGAATTCCGTTTAAATAATCAAGAAACAAATCAATATTTCTCTCAAAATCTTTTTAATCAAGATTCTGAAAACAACTACTTACAACCAAGCATCTGCCCAATAAATACGATCATCATCAAAATCAATTGTTAAACCATTTGGCCATCTTATATTAGTTGTAACAATATAAGTTACTTGTCTTCCAGTTAATGTCGAACGACGAATTGATGGATAATAACCAACATCTGACCAAAATAATAATCTATATTTAACAAAAAAACTTTTTTTTCTCTTGAAAAATAAAAGAAGAACTACAAACGAACCCTTTGCATGGATGAACAACAATTCCTCTTGGTCGTGAACTACCAGCTATAACTAATCTTTCTGAACCATTATTTCTTGCCGAAATTATTCTTCCATATCGTTCATCTGTCCAATATAAACGATCCGATACCCAATCATATGCTATACCAATAGGTTGTGAACGACCTTAAAATTTTCTTTTTTTTAAAAAAAAAAAAAAAAATTTCTAATATTTTTATTTTACCAGTAACATTTGTTTGTATTAATTGTCGTGCATTTGGATTTGGATCATCCATATCAAATGAAAATATATCTTGTAAAACATAATCCCTTTAAAAACAAATGAAATTCATATTAATCAAACAAAAGAAAAAAAAAAGTTATTTACGTATAAAATATTTTCCTATCTCGATAATCAAAATCAACTCCAACTACTAATCTTAAATTTGTAATTGCACGCCATGGTGCACTTGTTGATGAACCATGTGGTTCCATTGACATTGAACGAATTTCTCTTTCAATTGCAACAAGTAAATATTCATTTGGTGCTATGATGAGAAGAAAAAATATTTTAAGATTATAAAAAAAAAAGAAAATTCTTACGTGCACAAGTTCGTCGATCCATATTTAATGTTCCATATGCACATGCACATTGTGGTATACTTGTATCAGGCATAGCAAAACAAAGATCTTCACAAAAACGTTGTTGTGTTGTTGATGTTTGACATGGTGATTCAAAATTAGGTTGTTCATCAAATAATGTCATACCACCAACTTCATATGTTTTTAATGTTAATACTGATTCTAAACGTTGTGTCATATTACTAACAGTTTTATTAATACGCATTATCTTGAAAACACAAAAAAAAAAAAAAAAATTAATAAATTAATATTTTACAAAAAAGAAAAATTTTACCGATGAAAATGCTCGATCCATTATATATAAATCATTATTTGCAATAAGTAGACTAATTGCTTTTGGAATATTACGTGAAACTGTTCGACGATTTCTTCCATCCCATGATATAGCTTCAACTGTATCACGTATTGCATCCGACCAATAAACATCATCAGTAAGAAAATCAATTGTTATTGATTCTGGTCGAATAATTTGTGCTGTTACAATATATGTTACATTTTGACCATTGAGTAATGAACGAACAATACGAACACGTTGACCACGATCACACCAATAAAGAAATCTAGAAAATAATAAAATTGTTCATTGTTTTTTGGTTTCTTAAATTTAACCTTCGTTTTGGATTAACAGCAATAGCATAAATTGTTTCATTTGTTCCTTTTCGTAAAATTAATCGATGATCTGTACCAAGACGATTAACTTCTAAATGACCATAAGAATTTGTTACATAAGAAAAATATAAATTTCCAGCTATCCAATCAAGTGTAAGACCAAGAATAAAATTTCTTTGTGATCCAACACTTATTTGAAGATAATTTGTTATATTCCATATTCGATTATTTGTCCAAATTGCACGACGAATTAAACGATTTCCATCTATCCAATATAATTCACGATTCGAATATCGAGCTGTTAACATTTCCATATTATTACCTAACGAGAAAAAAAAAAGAATATTAATTTATATCAATATTAAGAAAATAGAATTTGAAAACTTTCATCAGAAAAAACAATATATATATTAATCTGATTTCAATCTATTCTCAAATAGAATAAATCTTACCAGGAATTAATGGCATAACATCTTCTCTTGCTGAATCATTTGATCGATAATCAAATGCTCTTAATAATGCATGTGTACTATAAACAATATATTGTTCACTTCTAGGTGAACATGTTCGTCCATCACTATTTAATTTATATCCAATAGCACAATCACATGTTGGCATACTATTATGATTAGCATCAATTTGAAAACAAATTTGTTCACAATATGAACCATAATAACAATTTGGATTGAAAGCTAAATAATAAAATATTATTTTAATAAATAAAACAAAAATAAAAATAATTTTAACCTTCATAACGTGGATAAGCACGAACTTGTCTTGGATCTTCTTGATTTGTTCGTACAGGTATAACATCTGATATAGGATTTAAACGATAATCAAACCATTTTTTATAAACACCTTCATATTCTTTATCAACAAAAAATAATGAATAATGTGTCGATGTTACATCATCATTTTCATTAGTTGATCTTGATGATGTTGAAGAATATAAATGTGTAAGAAAATCAAAACCACGTGGATGATTTACTTCAACATCAAGTACTTTTGTATCGCCTGAATCCATGCAATGATATGAAATCTATAGAAATTAAAATGCAAAATAGTAGATCTTTTTTTATTTTTGTTTTTTTTATTTTACTCTTTGTAAACCAAAATCACTCCAAAATACACAATGAAGATCAAGATTAAAAACAATATAATTTGGTTGTAAAAGATTATCAACAATAATATTTTCAGAATATTTTCCATCAAAACGAACACGACCTATTTTCATTGGAATTTGATCACCACCAAGATCAATCCAATAAACAAAACTAAAAAATTTATTTGTAAAAAATCAAAAAAAAAAAATTTTGTTTTTTAAACTAAACAATACCCATTTGTTGTATCAAGATCAAGTGCTATAGGTCGTATTATACCTGTAGCATTTTCATGATTACTATATACTATTGTATGATAGAGACCATTTAAAGATATTGCATCAATTCGACTATGACGAATATTAGCAATAAATAGATTACTAATAATTAAATGAAAAATTGAAGAAAATAATTAATTTCAAAAACAAAAAAAAAATTTATGTTACCGTCCAACAGCATCAATTTGCATTGTACCAGCTTCCATACCAACTAATATTTCATCATCACCATAGAAAACAGTTTCATTAGTACCATCGAAATTAATTCGACGAATTTCATACTATACAAAAAATATTAAGTCATTAATTAAATATTTGTATTGATATTTGAAGAGAATCTTATGGAATATTGTTGAAATTTTCATGGAAAAACTAGATTATCATTAAAAAACTGTCAGCCCAGCCATTTTAGGAAAACTTACATGTGTTCTTAAGCCTCATTATACTAATACAAAATATATTAAGTAAAAAATCTCTAGTTATTTCTCAAGAATAATCGATCATCAGAGAATCGATTTGTCGCATCTCGAATTTTACT